CAATTTTAGAATAAAATTACCAAAACATCAGATTAAGGTAAAAATATTTATTTTTTGTAATCAATTTTAGAATAAAATTACCAAAACATCAGATTAAGGTAAAAATATTTATTTTTTGTAATCAATTTTGATTGTTCAATTATTTATTACTTCTTAAAAATAAAATTAATTATTAATACATTTTTTGATGTTATTAAAAAAAAATTATTGCCATCAAAGTGGTAAAATTCAAATACCTAGGTACTATAATAATATTATGGCTATATACTAATAATGGTATATTATAAAATTTTATATACAAAATTCTGAGTTAAAAATATAATAAAAATCCTAACTAATGACCAATAATAATAATAATAATAATCAAGTGTTGCATCAAGCGTAAACATAAAACACTATGCTATTGTTATAGTTACCATTATAATTAAAATATAACAGGATAGATTGAAGGACATGGCCATGAGTTTATTTTAAATAATGTATGTCATAATACAATTTAATGTAACTTATTACAACTTATGATATAAAATCAGTAACATTGTAGGTGTATATAATTTGATAATTTAATTATTTATTATGTCAATATATTTGAACAGTTTAACAACTATTACAATAATAGTATTTAATACCACCAATTTTATTATTATTAAAAAAACAGTAGAGAAATTTATAGAATGATATTTTTTAACGTATCAACTAGACAATATTTTCTATCAGAAATACTTCATGATCGTGATTATCGAAGTAATTCTGGTTGAAATTGTATAAACAAACACAAAATAAACATACATAATGTTAAAACTAATACATTCCTCATTTCAATCAGAATCTAAAATAGTAAACATTTAGAATAAAATTGATTTTTTATTAGGAAATAAAATAAATATTATTTTAAAATACTATTCTTTTAAAAAATACTGTTTCGAGGCACGTATGAATAATATTTATTGTATTTTTCAAAAATTAAAGATAATAACATCTACAAATGTTGAAACCGTATTATTCTTCCGATAGATGTCGCATTAGTCAACTTTCAGCCACCCTGTCATTTGTTTGTTCGTTTTCAACCCCACAAACACGCCGTCGCGGCCGAGTGGCGTTTTCTAAGGAAAACACTAGTTTCCACGTCTGCGTTCTCGTATTCAGACGTATTTGATGCGCGTGTACTTGGCGATAAATTTGTGTTGTAAAATTATAATAGCAGATTATCTCTGAACGTCATGTACGTTGCTTAAACACGAAGGTATTATACGTAAGTACATAATTGGAATTATCGAAAGATTTTATTTTTTATAAGAAAATATTAATTTAATCAAAACAATATTGTACATTATACTGATAAGTATTAAGACTGAAATTTTATATCTGTTGTTTAGACATCGTTTTATTTTTCATATGGCTTGTTTTTAATTATAACTTTTCATTGTTTTGTAATAATGATTTTACACTTAGGTCAAGTGGAACACATATCTAAACAATTAATATATGAGAAATTTCACATATTTTAAATTATTACAAATCTGTTAATTTGAATACATACATCTGCAGTCGTTTTTTCATGAAATATAAAAGTATTTATTAAAAATGTAGTGATTTAATTAATAAAATCTCTAGTGAAATTTGGAGCTTATGTAAGTTGTACGATATGTAGATAAAAAAAATAAATACATTCATAATATACTCAATGATTTTTAATACAATGATTTAGTATTAATATAAGTCTATATTCTTAGTTTAATGAATCAGAAATCCATTAAATTGTTACACCAATAGTTATGAGTTTGAAACATATTTATTTTAAAATATATAAAACGTGTGTTTAATAAATTATACTATATTTGTGTTCATTTATTTAAAATTAATTTTCATGAGTTTTAATACATTCTTCATTTATAATTGTAAGCGTTTTCCCTAGAGCATCTTAGTGTATATATGTGTCATATTCGTTGGGGGTATATAAATTGACAAGTTTCATAGTCTGCTGGAAGTTTACTTTTGTTTAAATATCTGAGAGATATTACGCATTGGATTTAGAGATATAATACGTATTTATTGTGGCTGTTGAAGGGAGTTGCGTATGGAGAAACGAAATTGTTCATAACGAGCATTTCCTAGTTTCCCACACTCTCACACATGACGTGATACGAATCTACTCGAGTGGGATGGAAAGCGATCATTTTGCGATTATGTTTATTTCAATATTATGTAAATAGTATGTATTATACTAATTGAAATAAATAAATCTAATAACAAATGTATAAATAAATGTATTAAATATATATATATATATATATATATATATATATATTTATTCCTTATTTTTAAGTACTTTTTTTCTTTATTTATAAACGACCGATTGCATAGAGCATCATAAAAAAATAATTATACAATAATTAAATTATTTATCTTTGTATATTATAAAACTAATTGAATTTTGCAACTAAATAGTGTTAAAATATGGCAACGTAAATAAAGTTAAAAGTAGGTTGGAGTTTATATTAATAATATTTGTCCACTTTTTGGTTATTATATGCTAAAAGAGACATATTATGTATATATAGGTATATCATAATCAATAAGATACAATGATAAAGCTTTACATAAAAAACAATACCAGGTAGATGATGATATGTATTGTAAACTACGTTCTTTAGTTAGTTATAAATACATTTAACATAGAAAGAAAAATCATTTTCTTGACGTTTTGGTATGAATATTCTCATGTGATCCTATAAATAATATGATAATATATATTAATTAAAAATTAATAACTTCTTATTCAATATTTAATAATTAATTAATTAAGTTATTGACTTAAATTTAAATTTTAAATATTAAAGATACTGATGTTGAAATTTTTCATTATTATAGATTAAATTATTTTGAATAAGGTTCCAAATATCCGATCTATATTTTCAACAAAAAAATATATTTTGAATATTTCTGAAACGGTTTAATTATAATTTTGAACTTTATCTAGGATGTTTTAAAATATTTTAAAATATAACTTTAATATAATATACATTTTTAGAAGAACTTACACTTTTGACTAGTATAAAGTTACATTCAAATATAAATATTTTTACTTTTTAGCATCTTCTTCTTTTTCTTATCTTTTCTTCTTTTTTCTTTTATTTTTTATCTTAATTTTTAAAAAAATAATAATTAAGTTTTAGAAAGTAGAATTCCAATCATTAAAATTTGAATTTATCAAATTATATTTATGACAAGAATTTATGTTAAGTTTTGACTATACATTTGAAAATAGTATCTTAACAATTTAATACATTTTAAAATATTATCTTTAATTGTAAATACGAATTATGTGGATTAATTATTGAGTAAACTAAAAAACTATTACAATTCACATTTTAAATATATATATATCAGTGTATTATATGAATTAGTAAAACCATAAAAAATTTGAAGTGCTTAAATTGTACACGATGAGACAATATTATTTATAATATACTACTAACAGTTCTGTTAGTATTAACTTTATATATATATTTATGTATATTTTATATACTATTAAACACCAAAGAAATGACGAAAATCGATAAATTATGATTTTTTCATGTACTTTTGACTATGAAATATACTATACAAATTAATTTGTATGAAAAAAATATTATACTTAATTAAATACAAAGCACAATATTCAATATTGATAGTAGAATAATTTTTAGTTTTATAAATTATTTAACTTTATAATACATTGTACTAAGCAATACTATCTAGTTAATATAATTAATGGAGTTAAAGTAATAACTTATAGGTATACGATTATGAACTATGTATAGTAAGTAAATGTACGATAGGGTTTAAGGGATTCATGAGTCTAGTTTTAATTGGTTTTTACAAAATATAATAAATAATATTTAATCTTCAGCACTATTATTCTGAATTTAATTACCTTTATGCATTTTTACACCTCAGATATTACCTTTTTGATGAATTTTTATGAAATTTTATCAAATATATAATTAATTATATAAAATATTTCATTTAAAATAAATGAAATACTATTTGTAATTACTAATAACCATTAATATGGCCTGAACTATAAATTAGTGTAATGTAGAGATATTTAATTTGCAAGCCAAATATTCTAATCTTCCTAAGTGAATAAGTATTAGTATCATGTAAATAACATAAACAAGTTATCAAGATAATATTCATCCATACTAATTTATTACCAATTTAAATTAGTTTCATTAATTTTAAACTTGTAGGAAAATCACAAAGTGATGACAATTATGCACACAGTTATTAAAACTACTAAAAAAAAGGACCCCAATTAAAAAAAAATCGTTAGTCAGATACTTAGATTTCATACAAATGAATTAAGTATTATAATTGGCAGTTGTAAGCCCCTTATTTGAGCTTAAGTATTATAGAAAACATTCATTATCTAAATTATTTGATTTGTTTGGAATCCAGAACCACTTATTTTATTTAATCGATAAGTGTAAATTATTCTTATACATTTATAACCAAACAATTTAAAGGAAGGAAAAATAATTAATTAAAAATTATTATTGATATTAACCAAATAAGAAATAGTCAATTTAAATATAATTTTAATTTTTTTTGTCGATTTATAATTATAATTTTATAGCATACGAATAACTGAATGAATACGTATATAATACAGGCATACCACATTGTATATTAATATGCACAACATATGATAAAAATACATTACTAAATAAACATTATTTACTGACTATTGATAGTATTATTATACATTATATATTATATATTATCATTGTATTATTATATTATTATTATTATAGTTGAGATTAACTGTTGGAGTATAGTTTTTATTGCGTTTTCTACGAATTTAACTATAGTATTGATTATTTTCTCCATTCTTCGTATATGATGTAATCGTAATGCATTATTATTAAAATTGTATTGGTAGAAAAATAATTTTGGGAAATAACATAAAATAGAAATTTGATATATATTGTTTATTTAAAAATTAATGTTTTCATATCAATTTTAATGAAAAATAAAAATCTTTATATTTTTAATTTTTTTATTTTTATTATTAGAACTTTTAGTGAAAACTATTACAGTTATAATATAACTGTAATAGTTAATAATATAATAATATAATATATTTTTAAAACATTATGTATTTTGAATTATTTTACTAATTTTTAATTGTTAAAACATAATTGTTTTAACAATTATAAATTAGTAAAATTATTATTATTATAATTATTTAATTATTAAATATTTCAATTAGTTCATTAATTACAGTTCGCAGAAACTTACCAAATTTTCTAATATTTTCAAAATTTTCTTTTTTTTTTTTAATATCTTTAATTATTCATTTTTTATCATCTGGGTACTAAATCATTTGATAAATATCATGCATTTGTATTTATAGTCAACATTTACCAGTTCATAACATTTTATTCGGTAACTGAAATGGGTAAATCGTGTGCAACGCATTTGACGGTTCCCTGGGGCAGTATTGATTTGGCGTTTTTTTGATAGGTTTTGAGCAGTGGATATTTTTTTTTCTTCAACATTTATTTTTCTAGACTTTTTTTGTTGTTGTTATTTGTTGCCAAAAGTTCCAATAAACTTTTATTGCAACGCCACGGCGGCAAAGGTGTCGCGTGCCAGCGGTATTTTTGGCTGTTTACCAAAAGTCATGTGTATCGATCGGACGAGCGTTTTACCTTTCCCCATCCTATCGCGAATGGTTAAGATGTGAAAATATATAAAAACAGGAGAATTAAACGAGTTAAAGTTCTAATAAACACGACTTTTTAGTAAACAGTTAGGACGTGCTTAGAATTTAACTAGTGTCATTCATCAGTGAAAGTTTATTCTACTGAAAGCAAAAACTATATGTACTTACTGACGCGATCATTTAAATTCGTTGTAATGAGTAAATTATTCTATTTTAGGTTCTTCAAATTTAAATGTTACTGATTTTATTTTTAATGAAATTTGATAATTATAGTAAAAATGTAAAATAATGCTGGTGTACCAATAAGAGAAAAAAACTAACATTCATAGTTATTTAATTAATCTAATACTGAATCAAGTAACGATAAATATGACTGCTTTTATTTTATCTTCAGGAAACTCACTATATATAAGTAATAATTGTATAATGTACTATTCTTCAATTTTTTAAATCAACTAATTTTTTTATTTATATTTGAAAATTTGTACATGTATGATAGGCTCTCTTAAAATTAAAATAAATTATTTATTTAATTAATT